AAGAAGGCTGCCTCGACTCCCCCAGTTGCCGCCACTCTAGATCCCAAACTTGAAGGTAACAAATTTTTTTTTTTTCTTAAAAACCCCAATTACAATCTTACATGCCCCTGAGGTGTTTGAGCTTATGTGACATCAAACCAATTGAAGCACTAGAGACTGTAGTCGCCACGCCGAGTTCAGCAGAGGAGAAGAAGCCCGCGAAAGCCCCCGAGAAGAGGTCCGGTGCAAAGAAGTCGCCTGTGGCTGCTAGCAGAAACTTCACGGGACTTAAAGTACCGTGAAGTTGTTATAGCTAAAAAAAATTCACGGGACTTCAAGTCTCTTGAACTTATATACCCCCTAATCAAGTTCCTTAGCGATGACTTAAACTTCACGGGACTTAAAGTCCGGTGAAGTTTCGTAATGTTTTTCTTCAAATTCGATCCAGTTGTAGACAGTTGGCTGAAACTGGATCGAATTTGGTAATTAAATTAAAAACATATTCATTTTTGCACTTAAGTTTCTAAATAGGTCGAATTTAAAAATTTGTCCTAAATTGTTACTCTTTGATTTATTGTTGACCAAATCAGCTTACTTGTTTCACCCGTCGTTGAGTACAGCAATCAATTCTTCCAACGTTAATTTGTCGTTATACTTGAGATTAACTCTTGTAATCACTAATTGACATTCATTTCAAAACCAGAGAGCAAAATTGCACGCAACATCATCTAATTATAATATACATCTGTCTTATCAGTATTTGTGTTTGGACTTCGAATGCTGAAAACGAGCATGCTGAAAGTCGGTGCATCGTAATCCACACACACGCGCAAAAATAAATAAATAAATAAAATCTGGTTGTGAAACGAGAGCCACAATACATGCGTCAAGTTTTCTAAATTTTTATTTAAACAATAAATAAACAAACTGTTAGGTCACAATCTTTGGATGTGGATTAGGTACCAATACCATGTACCACAATATTAGTACCTCATTTATTAATTTTCGCAATTCAAGCTATTTATTCTCCACTGAGTGGATTTATTAGTGATATATCTTATTATCAAATTTAATAACACTATCTATATTCATACTGAAAACCTAAAAACTCCTTAAATAGGACTGCTGAAACCTAAATCAATGTAATAAAAAATGAATATTGTCTTGGGTTAAAACATGGGTTAATTGGACAACCAAATATGCCCATCACATGCGCTACCTGGCTAACACCGATCGGTTACTTCAAGCTGCAAAACAGCTTGTTTTGAACCCTTCAGCACTCCAGAATCCTCAAACTGATGCAAAAAAAAAAAAAAAAAATGATACCCTCTTATTCTCTCGCATCTCCACGTCGAAAAAAAAAAAAAAAAAAATGATACCCTCTTATTCTCTCGCATCTCCACGTCCGCTCCCCTTCCTCTCTCCGTACCCACCCCCTAAACCCACCCACACTCTCGACCTACCCCCCTCCAAAACCTCAAAAGCCAGCCCTATTTCTCACTACAATTCCCTCATCAGAACCCACATCGAATCCCACCGACCGAGCAAAGCCCTCTCCCTCTTCAACCAGCTACTCCTCTCAACGCCAACTCTTCACCCAGACCACTTCACCTTCCCATTAATCCTCAAAGCCTGCGCTCATCTCTCCTCTCTCAAACAAACCCAACAAATCCACTGCTTCGTTCTCAAATCCAACGCCATCCCGCAGCACGACGTCTTCATCCTCACCTCTCTCATCAACGCTTATGCTGAATGTGGCAGTATCGATGATGCCCGCCGCGTGTTCGATAGAATGCCTGAAAGAAACACGGTCACTTGGAACTCTGTGATGTCTGGGTTGTTGAAATTCGGTGATATAACCTCGGCGTTTAGAATTTTCAATGAGATGCCGATGAGAAATATTGTTTCGTGGAATTCGTTGATGGCAGGGTATGTGAAGGCGAGCTTGTCCTATGAAGCTATTGTGCTCTTCATCGAGCTACAGGTTTCGGGTTTGAAACCAGATGAGTCGACTATGGTGAGCCTCGTATCGGCTATTTCTGATCTGGGTCTGCTTGATTTGGGAAGAAGAGCACACGGGTACATAGCACGTAACGGCTTACCTCTTGATGGAGCTCTTGGTGTTGCGTTGATCACCATGTACAGTAAATGTGGGAGCATTGATGCTTCTTACAGAGTCTTTCAGTTAATCCCAGTAAAGAATGTCAACCATTGGAGTTGTATAATCGGATGCCTCGCGAATCATGGCCAAACCGAGAATTCTCTTCAAGTTTTCTCTGAAATGCTACATTTGGGCATCAGGCCAAACCATATTACATTTGTTGGTGTTCTAAATGCTTGTAGACACTCAGGCTCAACAGAGGAAGGTATAAAGTACTTCAACCTTGTGAAAACATTCGACATAGAACCAAGAATTGAGCATTATGGATGTTTAGTTGATTTGCTCGGCCGTGCTGGATTTCTAAAGGAAGCGATGGAGATAGCTTGCAATTTGTCAATGGATCCTGGATATGTTGTATGGAGCACATTATTAGCTGCTTGTAGAAACCATGGGAATGTTGAGATTGCAGAGACTGTGGCAAAGAAGATGATCGAACTTGATCCAGACGATGGAAGTCCTTACGTTTTGATTTCGAATATCTATGCGCAGGTTGGGAGATGGGAGGATTTTAGGAAAATGAGGAGGAGGATGGAGGAGAGAAGAGTAATGAAGGTTACAGGTCTCAGTTGGATTGAAGTGGATGGTGGGGTTCATGAGTTTGCTGCTGGAGACAAGTTTCATGTGAAAGCTAAAGAGATTTATTGTGTTCTGGAAGAGATGACGGAAATTTTGAGATGGGAAGGGTATAGACCAGTTGAATCTGCTGATTCTGGCAGCAGGATGGGAAATAATGAGGAAGAAGACGTGAGAATTGAGTCTCCAATTTCTTAAATTGCAAAGCAGACAACTTGTCACAAATTTTTGAATGTTTTTGTACAAAGCCAACACTGTTATTGTCTAACACAAATATTGCAAATTATTGTGTAGATCTGAGACTATTTATCGTTAAGGCAAGATTTTACCAGCATTTAATACAAACAGGTTCATCACAGTAACACAGGGGGAAAAAACACTTAATGCTGGAATCAAATCGGGGAAGAAAAGGGCCTTATGAACTTCGACATACTGATATTATTGCCACTACATCCGTATGTGTCATGTTATTATTAACTCAATCAAAGTCATACACAAGGTGATGTACTAAACAATACGAGCCTTGAAATTTTTAAAAAGCAGTGAGAGATGGAAAATTTTAAGAAGTAGTCAAAGGTGATGCAGATGCTTCTCAGTTTAAGAACAAACAATTCCATGCTCTGGCTTCCGTAAATCGTCATATGCTGCAGCGTAAACCCTTCCTTCCGAAGAACCACTAAAAACACAAGGGGGAGAAAACTTTTTAAAAAAACAAGGCATAATTAAATTGGGAAAAAGTATAGCAGGAATTACAAGATGAAAGCAGAAGACAACAAGGAGTTAATACAAGAAAGAACCATCTTGTTTGTTTTTCTTATTATGTTATAAACTTCAAACACACTTTTTACCAGCAGTGTTATAGTTGTGTCAATTAAAGTTAACCAGGTATAAACCTCCAATTCTTCACCTAGCATCCTCATAAAAAGAAATAGACGCTGATGATGATGGAGACTTTCAACTCCCAGATGGATACCCGTAAGATAATTTGTATGTCATCTGACAGGAAAGCTTCTCGCTGCTCGGCTTCTCCTATGACCATACTTAACAACACTCGGTTTCTAAATAACAAAATGCCACTCACACTGACATGAAACCGACAAAAGAAAATTGCAAACCCAGAAAAAGAACAAAAAATAAGAGGGGGGGGGGGGGGGGAAAGAAAAAAAAA